AAAAGATGGGGGATTATTTTCAAGTGTATGACTACTAGGGCAGTTCACTTGGACCTCCTTTCTAGCATTGACTGTGACTCCTTTTTGATGGCTCTGAGAAGATTTGTGGCACGCCGAGGCAAGCCCTTTGAACTGCTCTCAGATCAAGGCACTAATTTTAAAGGTGGAGAGCGTGAGCTTCAAGAAGCATTTACCTCACTACAACCTGGACTTAAAGATCTCCTTTCATCTCAACAGATTAAGTTCACCTTTAATCCACCGAGTGCTCCCCATTTTGGTGGCTATTGGGAGAGAGAGATAAGGTCACTCAAACAGGCACTTCAAGTCACCATCGGTGAACAGTTGGTCCCTGAAGAGGTTCTGCAGACTGTACTTGTAGAAATTGAGGGCATCCTCAATTCCAAGCCGCTGGGATACATCTCCTCAAATGCTGCAGACCCGGATCCAATCACACCCAACATCTGGCTCAGGGAGCGGCTGGATTCATCCCTGCCTCAGGTTGTGTACCCAGAGTCAGAGCTCCTTGGTAGACGGCGGTGGCGACATAGTCAACTGCTGGCGGACCACTTTTGGAGGAGTTTCATCCGTTTCTACCTGCCAGGCCTCCAGACACGTCAGAAGTGGTGCTCTGACTCTCCCAACCTTCAAGTTGGGGATACAGTACTGGTTGTTGACCCCCAGCTACCTCGGGCTAGTTGGCCTATTGGACAGATCATCCAGACTTCACCTTCACCTGATGGTAAAGTAAGGACTGTCGAAGTGAGGGTAAGGGATCGCTCCTACCTTCGACCTGTCTCCAGGATCATCAGCCTTCCTAAAGTGCCCGATCATTAACGTTGTGTAACGGCATTAGGCCTTTTCTATATGTGCAGATTTTCTCACAAAATCTGGGGGCGGCTGTTAAAAGGGTAATGTCACTTGGACTATTCTATTTTCCTCCCCTCTTGTTTCTCCCCCCACGAGTGGTATGTTCCAGTTCTCAGAGTGTGTCACATTAGCCACTGTGTGAGGGGCTAAATAGCATTGTGTTCGGAGTTCCAGTTAGTCGGAATGTATTACCAAGTTTACCCCCCTTCTGGTGTGCGTCCATGAATGTGAGTAAAGTTTGCTGTATTACACGTTGGTAATAAGAAGAAAAAAGGCCGATTTACGTTAAAGAATTGACGTCTTATGTATTCGTTAGTGAAACAGCAGCACAGAGACAAATGGAAGCCCACAGAAGTTAGAATGACTCACTAGCTAATATTCAGTGCAGACATAACAAAGGCCATGAATGGCAGCTTATCAAAAGCCCGTGCACCAGATGAGCACAACTGTTGCACATTGTTCTCTGCGGTAACATCAGCCGATGCGTCAGTGCCAAAACTCCAACGCCACAGTGAGCAGGAAGTCTACGGCTGGTGAAGTAAGAAGGTGCCAGTGGGGGCGGAGCAGAAGGACAAGGCTGATGAGATGTTATTAGGTGCTGACAAACAGATGAGATGAGATAAATGCCAAGAAAATCTACTGTCCAATCATGTATTGTTAGGATGAAGAGTCATTCTTCAAAGTAGACAGTGAAACAATAGTAGAGAACATTATTCATCACACAAGTAGAAGAGAAGGTCAGCACTCACTAAACTGGTCCATATTAACCATTTGTTTAAATGAAAGCTTTCACTTTGTTAAGAGACACAACAACTTGGGACGCCCATAGTAGAAAGAGGCTGTTCACCTACTGTACAGTATTGTATGCTCTGGGTTTGTATAGAAATGGCAGCAACGCTTGTGTTTTTATTCAGTGAATGAACAAGCAAACTGTCTCTTCTTCTCCACTCATGACATTTTAGAATCTAGTAGATTTACCATATGAATACAAACTTCTAGAGGTCAAGGTCAGAGCTCACTTTAGGTTTAACCTCCAACTAAACTGGTAATATGGCTGAATAGCTGTACTGTCTGAATGATCTTTAGTTCTTGTCCTGAGGGAACAATGTGTTCCCAGAACATTACCTGCTAATCATAACAACTAGAAACATCAGTTAATGGCAGCAAGCTTATTAAGTTTTAATAAGCCAGAATTATAGGACGCCGAAGGCATCTGTGCTCTCCATTTGCTGACTCTTTACAATAAAAATGTCAAAAGTCTGGAAAGTGAGTGCCTTTTTTAAACTTTGTGTGACATACTACAAATACCTGAAGTGAGTGCACCTTAAGTCACAGCTGAGTCTTTATTGTAAAATAAAAATAATGGGTTCATCATGCGAAGAGGACAAAGTCCTGCATGTCATTTCATTAGTACTCTACCAGAACACAAATCCTAATCTGTTTGTACTCTGATTCACAGTGATCCAGACAAAACCATGACTCTTGATGTGTGTTTGAAATCTTCAGAGGAATGGCAGCAGTGCTCCACAGTCCTGTATGAGCTCATCCATCCCTCTGGTGGATCCCAGCTGGCCAACACTCAGGTCCCTGTCATCTGTTCAAAGTGTATCATTCTGTCCTTGGTGGCCCTCTTCCTTGGCAGGGCTGACCATTATCACAAACTGTGATGCGCGCTCTGCTCCCTCTCTCCCTCTATCCACCTCAAGCTCTCAGCTGGAGCTTCGATTTGGAGCCGGTCCATTTGAGATGGTGGAGGAATATTCCAAACAGCACAATAATTCTCTACAAATCCTGGCATAGGATCCAAATGTCCTGCAGCGATGAACCCGGCTTGCTCTAGCTCCCCTATAAATCTCTGCCAAGCATTAGCATAGTGCAGAGCATGTTGAAGTTGCTGGAGAAGGAAGAGAGAGATGATGCTCTCTCAGATAAAAACAGTAACTGAGTCAAAAAGTAAATAGTAAAAAGGACATGTATCATGGAGCCTTTGAAGAAAAGCACATACACTGACACTTCTGACAGTTTCTTCAGATTGTTCCTTCCTGTCCACCCGTTCTTCGATCCCTGAGAAGCTCCAGATAATGTGAACGCTGCAATGAACACCACTGGCAGTCAAAGGGCAGCTACTGCCTTCCTCAGTTTCCTGTATATGATACATTGGTTCCTCTCTGGTGAAAAGAAAAACTCATGCAATTGATGTGCTGATGGTAAAAAGGAAGAGAAAACACATTAAGTGAACACACAGGAAGACCAGAAAGAACAACAAGCTAAGTCAGACCACAGGGGAGCAATGCATGTGCTTAAAGAAAACAGCTTTTGCCAGGATCTTGGACGTCATCTTGCATTTGCTTAATGTAAACACATCCACAGCATGGGCGGGAAGTGGACACACTCCAATAAGAGAGACAACACATGTATTGTTCTGTGTGTAGACTATGCAAACAAATCTCTATGTGACTGGGGCTGCAACTAATAATTCTTTAATATCTGATATTTATTTCTTATTAACTGTTTTCTGAAGCTCAACAGAGCATCAAGTACTTTGTCAAGTAGGGCTGATGTGAATGAATATTTAGTTGATTAACAAGCAAGCAATCTTTATTTATACAGCACCTTTCTAAACATAAGTTACAAAGAGCTTCACATCAAGATTAAAAACTAAAAGCATTTAAAAAAAATCACAATACACAGGACAGCTACAGAGAAGAAATGTCATGTAGAAAACAGAAGACAACAGACAGAACAAACACTTGAGAGAACAAGTGAATCTTTAAAAAGGGTATGAAACTTGTCCAAGTCGTGGGCAGGTCTGATACCAAGTGGTCATTTATTCCAGAGACAACCACTGAGAAAGCTCAGGCTCCCCAGTATTTTAACCTCGACCTAGGATCTCTCAGGAGATCTTACAATGACATGGGGCTCTAAGAGCCCTGTGGTGCCAAGTCATGAAGAGCTTTGATTACAATTAATATTTTTAACAGGGAGCCAGTGAAGCAAGGCTGAAATCTGAGTTATATGCTCCTGTTTGTGAGCACCTGGTCAGAGACGGGGCGCAGCATTTGATACCAACTGCAGTTTAGACTGAGGGGATACCGATAAACAGAGCATTACAAGAATCAAGTCTAGAGCTAATGAAAGCATGGACAGCTGTTTTCAAAGCCATTAGAAGGAAAGAAGTGCTTCACGTTTGCTAAAAGTCTCAACTGAACAAGCTTGTCTCAACTACTGATCAACTGATTAGTAGTTTAGTGTATAAAGTTTAGTTTAGTGTATAAAGTTCTACAGTTCAAGGTGACATCTTGTGTTATCTCATTTCGATCAACAAGAAAACAGCACATTTTCTTATTTTATAGAAGCTGAAACTAGAGCATATTTAACATTTCTTCTTCAATGATTCATCATCTACCACCTAAAGATGCCTGATCAGACCCATAGTCTTCCACACGTCACTGGACTTCCTGTTGCTCAGGCTGGTTTCTGGTCTGGCTTCTTGTGTTTAGATAAAGGTAGAAATGACAGGTTTTGTCTCTGCTGTGAAATAAAGAAGGATTCCTGGAATCGACTAATAAATTAAACTGACTAATCAGTTCAGCACTCCATATATGACTGACGCCACCGATCAGTAATACTTACAACACACAAAGGCTCTTGGTAGGAATACAGCTAAAACTAAACAGAAAACAAAAATAAAAAAAGACAGAAAATCTGTCAGAATGTGACATGAAGTAGCATCCTTTGGCTTCACCAGAGAAAAACACACAGCATTAAGTCAGTGCCTTCATTTATTCATTGCTGTTGGACAAAATGTGCACAGAAAGACAAAGAAACCCAAGGAGAACTGAAATGGTATAACTTCATGTAGCAGATTGGACCTAAAGCTTCAATAGCTCCCAAAAGTGAGAGGCCTCCTGTCAAACTGGTCATACAACAGAACCAGTTGAACAAGGCCACGTACACACCAGTGGAAAAGCCATATATATGTCAGCACAGACATTCCTGAGAGGAGTAAATGGCCCTGTCTTATAAGTGCTGTCAGAAGAAGTGGTGATGTCGAAGCAGACAGGGACTCAGTGGGTGGGACGGTGAAAAGAAGCCCTAGCTTATTTTATTTTTTAAATCATCCTGTTACTTACCCACAGTTGACCCAGGCGATAGTCCCTTGGCCCTTCACTGTCTGGGCCACATCTGACAGCAGTTTCAGGTGGGATTCTCCTGACGTAGCTACAGACACAGAGAATAAACTGAGGTCAGCCTTGTTCAAAAGCTCAGGACAACCCAGACATTTGAGACACAGAGGACACTGTCATGTCAGACACAGCCAAGAGGAATTGAGTTACAGTGGAGCTCAGTGTCTCGCTAAAGCGCCAAGTGGTGAAGAAAGAGATCAGTGACTTTGGGTTGGAAGGGTGATGGAAGAGGGTTGTTTAATACCTTTCACTGGTTGGGCTCAGGGACGGGGCTTAAGTTACCTCAGCTTTCAACATCATACAATAGTGGGACTAAGCAGGACATGGGAGGATTTTATGGTGCCATAAAACAGAGCAACGTTTCAGCAAACAGGGTTGGCCATAATGAACATCAAGTGTGAGCTCAGTCAAGAACAACACAGAGCTCATGACCACTGGACATGTGTTCACGCAGAGGAGAAGACTGTAATAAACTGTACCAGCTACAACAACACACACATTCTACCATGACTCTGTGTTCACGTGTGGAATAAACTGTACCAGCTACAACAACACACAATAATGTGTCAGATTTTGATCAGACATTGCAAACAAAGCAGACTCCTTCAAGTAAACCAAGTGTTATATTCTAGGCCTTGTGTAACACACTACATCATCTTATACTCCCCTGAAACCAAGTGTGTTTCATTCACTGCATAAGAGAACAGCTCCTGTCAAAGCTCCAGGCCAGGACTATATTTAGATGTAGAGGTACTGCCATGACTCCCCATGGTCCTGCCTTGCACCGGCTAAGCAACACAAACATTTGGCAATACACTATCAGTTTTTTACCACATATGGAGCAGGATGCAAGCAGAAACTGGCTGGTAGATTTTCTAGTAACTGTTAACATTTTAAAAGTTAGAACCTGAACAAAAACTCCACAGGGATGTGAGTGACTGTGGAGAGTCGGAGGCTTGGGTAAGGAACGAGACGAGGGACGAATGTGATATTGTTGAGGAGGACATTAAACCAGCAGAGCAGGACGAGGGGGACCTTTAGCATCTTTAAAGAAAAATGTCTGTGCGATGCTGCAGCCCGTGATCATTCACAGCTACTGCTCAATATGTGCAGGCCTTGTCCAGTGACCTCACACAGGCTCATATGGGCCATGCATAATGAAACAAATCAATCTGTGGCTGTGGGGCTGTGAGAGCCCTCTGCTGCTTACTGACGTTGGAGGGTCTTCAGAACGGGACAATTAGCCACATCAAGCAGATCCTTCCCACAGCCTGCTGAGTGCATTTGTCTCCTTCTCAGAAATATGCAAATGAACGTGAAACTGAAATCTCCTGGGATGCATTAGGAGGGGTCCCCTAATGGGTGGAAAAGGAAAACTCTTGGAACTCTGTCTGATGGTTTACTTCCTATTTAACGACTACTCTCTAATTCTATAAAAGAAGTCGTTCCAAGTTTATTATTGAGATAGACCACTGTGATCCTCCCTGTACAGCGGGCTGCACAACACATTAATTCAAAATATATTTAAAGATACTAAGGTAAAAGGTTTTTTTTTTATTAAGGACATCAGATCTGGGCACAGTGCCACTGCACCACAGTTACTGGAGAAAGCAACCAAATGGATTTTAATTAATATGGTGTTTTAATGTTACTGAATTGTTTAATTATTACGGCAGAAACTATGACAGACCAGTGAAGATAACTGTGCTAATGGATGGATGTTAAAGAGCCCATGGCATTCTCATTTCCAGCCATTTAAGGTTTCATCTTGGGTACCTCTAGATTAGCTTTGCACCCATAATAACTCCAAATAGTCTGTAATTATTTCAGAACAATAAAACCAGAGAACCTCCTCCTGAAAACGAGAGGATAATGTGTGAACACGCACAACTCCTGTCGCTGGTGTTGTGTTGAAATCTGCTTCCCCAGCCAGATGTTTCCTCTAACCTGAATCCTAACGTTATCCTAACCAAACCAACTCAGGCGACCCCTACGTGAATCTGAGCTTTTAAACAGGGGACACACACGAGCTGTGTTTTCACGACAACACCTCAAATCAAACCTGACATGTTCAAGCCAGAAGTGGACAGCATGACGAAGCACAACAGCATTAATTCATTTGAAATTCTCCGCCATAAACAGCTAAACAACGGTTTATGTACCAATGAAAAGAGATGTGTAACACACTAAACAAAGTGGGTCATTGACAAACCCTCTATTTTAAGTGGCGTATGTAGAGATAGTAATTTCTCAAGTCTTACAACGATTGTCTCTAATGTTACAGAAACAACACATGAACAGATGTAACATGTGGTTTCTTTTTTACTTAACGTTAAATCCCACCAAGTAGTGAAAACATAACTCCCTTTCCAGTAGCTCCAAGGTCATCGTGGATCATTGGAATCCTCTCACCAGCCAGCAACATATCACATGCGACAGACACACAACCTCAGGCCCTGTCGTTTTCTCCACATCCTCTGATCACAATGCAGGAGGGAAAATATATCCACAAAACCATGGAGGGTTGAAAAATCACACTTTAAAGAATGGCACTGGTGGATGTCAGGCAAGCTCACATGAACGCGCACAGCCTGGAGATTATGACAATTCAAGGAATTCCATAAACTATTGAGACAGCCAGCGAGAGTTTGCCAGATGTGTATAAACCGTGCTGATTCTGCACAGAAGTACTAGAACATACATACATACACCTCCTTTTTTGAGCTTTCAGTCACGTTTAAGATGATAATTCATCACTGTAACACTGTAGATACGTCAGAAAACACAGAAGCATGCCATGAGCACGTTAAATTCTCTTATAGCAGGTGTGTGAATGTGCCCATTATGTTTCAAACACAGCAATATGCTGTAGCG